GTCACAGCTGGAGCCACACAGCGCGGCCTTTCCGGTGTCACAGCTGGAGCCACACAGCGCGGCCTTTCCGGTGTCACAGCTGGAGCCACACAGCGTGGCCTTTCCGGTATCACAGCTGGAGCCACACAGCGCGGCCTTTCCATTGTCACAGCTGGAGCCACACAGTGTGGCCTTTCCAGGTTGGCTTCTTTCATTCACAGCATATGGGTCAGGTTCCTCCATGTCTTCTTGCAGCTAAAGCTCATTTCTTTTTATCACCAATAACATTCCGTGGCACTGACATGCCACCGTCTGCTTGCCCATTCACCTACAAGGTGGAATAGCAAGTCTTGAAGCTGGGAAGTGTGGTCTCTGACTCTGCTCTTCTTCAAAACTCTGGGCTATTCTGGACATTTTGCTTTCCACGTGACCCTTACAGTCAATGTGCCAGCAGGCATGATGCACCTTGCTGGTGCTGTGTTGAATCTACAGCTTGGCTTGGGAAGGCTGAACCCTGGACAGTGCTGGGCTTTCCCGTCTGTTTTAGTCCAGCTACAATAAAACAGACTGTGTGCTTTGTAAACAAAATACATGTCTTTCTCACAGTTTTGGGGGGTGGGAAGTCCAAGGTCAGGTGCTAGGAGATGAGGTTCTGGTGAGGGCCTGCTCCTCATAGACGTGCCGTTCGCATGTCCTCACGTGTGGGAAGGGACAAAAGAGCTCCCGGCCTCTTTCATAAGGGCTCCTATCCCATTTATGAGGACTCTGACTCACACTCTAATTAGCCTCCAAGGCCCCACATCATAACACCATCACCGTAGGGGACAGGGGTCAGCAGATGGATTTGGGAGGGCACCTGCTTTCCAACCATAGCGCTATCCACAAAGAAAAAATTTCTCTCCATTTATCTAGATCTTCTTTGATTTCTTTCATCAGAGTTTTATAGTTTTCCTTATAGAGATTTTGTATGTAATTTATTAGATTTATTCCTAAGTACTTCCTTTTGGTTTGTGCTTAAATGGCATTTCTGTTTTTAATTTAAAATTCCACCTGTTCATTGCCGCAATATAGGAAAGCAACTGACTCTGGATATCAGCTTTGCATGCTGCAGGGCTGCTACAAGTGCTCATTAGTACCAGGTTTGTGTGTTGCTGTTGCTGACTCTTTGAGATTCCTGACATAATCACATCATCTGAGAACAAAAATAGTTCTAACTCCCATCACCCCATCAATATGGCTTTTATTTCCTTTTCTTGTCTTATTACTTCATCTAAGATTTTCAAGAAGATGTTGAAGAGAAGTAGGAGAAGGGGGTCCTTGCCTTGTTCCCGACCTTATAAGAAAGCTTCTAATTTCTCATTAAGTGTGGAATTCATTGGAGGATGTTTGCAGCTTTTCTTTGTCAAGTTGAGGAAGTTCCCCTCTATTCCTAGTTTGCTGGGAGCTTTTTTTTTTTTTAATTGTGAAAAGATGTGGATATTGTGCAATGCTTTTTCTGTATCTATTCTATGATCACGTAATTTTCCTTCTTTGCCTGTTGCTGTGATGGATTACACTAATTGATTTTTTAAATGCTGAACCAGCCTGTATACCTGGAGTAAATCTCAGTTGGTCTTAATATATAACTGACTGTTAAGAATTTTGTTGAGCAATTTTTTTACAATTCATAGTTTTCCTTCTTTGTAATGTCTTTATCTGGTTTTAGTATTAGGGTAATGCTGGCCTCCTAGAATGATTTAGGATGTTTATCCTCTGCTTATATTTTCTGGAAGAGATTGTAGAGAATCAGTATAATTTCTTCCTTAAATGCTTGATAGAATTCACTAGTGAAAACATCTGGGTCTGGTGCTTTCTTTTTTAGAAGGTTATTAATTACTGATTCAATTTTGTTAATAGTTACACACCTGTTCAGATTATCTAGTAATCTGAACAGGATCTGAACAGATCTGATTAGTTGTTAGGCACCTAGATATTAAGGGTTGTTAATTATTCCTGGAGAACTGATCTTTTTATCATGAGGTAATATCCCTCTTAACTGCTGAAAACTTTCCTGGCTCTGAAGTCTGCTCTGCCTATTCTGATAATTTCTGATATTAGTAATCTGTGTCTTCTTTTTTTTCTTAGTCTGGCTACAGGTTTACCCATTTTATTGATTTTTTTCAAATATTCAGCTTTTGGTTTAATTTTCTTTTCTTTTTCTACTTTCCTAAAGTACAAACTTAGATAATGACTTTAGATCTTTCTGCTTTTCTAATACATGCATTTGATGCTATAAATTACTACGGCTCCCCCAGCCTTCTTTTGATTCATGTTAGATCAGTATACTTTCCTCCATCCCCTATCTGTTAATCTTTAGGTGTTCATATATTTTAAATGGGCCTCTAGAAGACAACACATAGGTATTTTTTTGAAAATCCACCCTGTGTACAATCTCTGTCCTTTAACTGGTATATTTAGACCATTCATATTTAAAGGGATCACGGATACAGTTGGAGTAATAGCTACCATGTTTGTAAGTTTTCTATTTGTTGCCTTTGTTCTTTGTATCTTTTGGGTCTCCCTTTCTATTTCTGCCTTCTCTGGCTTTCACTGGACACTGTATATGGTTCCATTATCTGTCTTCTCTTAACATATCAATTATACTTCCTTTTAAAAAAAAATTTAGTGGTTGCCATAGAGTTTGCAATATACATGCACAACTAATCCAAGTCCACTTTTAAATAAGGAAGTATTCCTTAAAACGACAGTACAGGTTTCTGGTAACAGAGCACCCTGCTCCTCCCTCATGTCCTTTCCATTACTCATTCCCCTTATGCATAAGCTGCAGTTAACCAACACATGGCTGCGGCTATTACTTTGAAAAGTTATCTGCTAGATCAATTAAGGGTAAGAAAAAGATATTTCATTTTGTCTTCACTTCCTCCCCCTCCAATGCTTTTTTCCCTTTAGGTAAAGCAGAGTTTCTGGCCTATCTCGTATTTCCTTCTGTTGAAGAACTTCTTTTAGCATTTCTTGTAAGGCAGGTCTACTGGCAACAAATTACTTGAATTTTTGTTTATTTGACAAAGCTAATTTATCCCTCACTTTTGAAGAATAATTTTTTCTGAACATAAAATTTGAGGTTGATTATTTTCTCCTTATAATGCTTCAAATATTTCATACCACTCTCTTCCTTCTTGCATGGTTTCTGAAAAAAGGTCCAGTGTAATTCTCATCCTTTTCCCTTCATAGGTAAGGAATCACCTCACCTCTAAGGAATCTTCTGGATTCTTTCAAGATTTTCTTTTTTCTTTGATTTTTTGAAGTTTGCATACAATGTGGCCTGGGGTCGACTTTCCGGCATTTACCCTGCTTGGTGTTGGCATTCGTTGAGCTTTCTGGATCTGTGGTTTGGTGTCTGTTAAAAATTTTGGAAAATTCTAAAGTATTACTACGTTAAATCTTCCTTCTGTTCCTTTCCTTCTAGTCCTGCTGCGGTTCCCTCACAAGCTGCAGCTGCGGAGGCTGTCCCACAGGTCTTGGCCATTTTCTTCTGGTTTTCAAACCTATTCTTACTCCTCCTTGCTTTTCAGTTTGTGACGTTTCTAACACATATCTTCCAGCTTGCTGAGTCTTCCCTCAGCCACATCTAGTCTGCTGATGAGCCACTGCTTCATTCCCGGCAGTGTTTTTCAGTGGGTGCTTGCTGCCCACCCTTCATGTTGTTCTTGTCAGTTTTGCTGTGGGGAGGGCCCCGGGGAAAGTTTTGCTAGAGTGAAGTGTGTATCTCGTGTACAGGTTTAAACACACCGTAGGTTCACCAGCCACTTCATGACTGATTTAACTTAGTGGTAAAATATGTATTTGAATGGTTACTGGAAAACAGAGAATTTCTAAGGATCTGGAGCTTGGTGAGGCTTGATGCACAAACTCCTTGTGCCAACTTCCGGCGGCACACGTGGCGTCCGAGTGCCCCTGTCTCCCCACTCTCGCGGCAGCTCGGTGCCAGAGCACGGAGCATGCAGGTGCCGTGTCTCCTTAAACGGAGCAAAGAGCGCCACCAGCCAGCTCCTGCGATTCTGTGTGGCTGTTCCTGCCACGGGCCTCCTAGGAGGGCTCGGATGCTAGAATTTAGAAGGATCTGAAGATCGTCAGGTAACAGGGCAGTGAGACATCAATCTGCGGGCCAGAATCTTGCTCTCATCGCCCATGAAATCACCACTCAGGCAACTGAGATAAGACTGTGCTGCACAGTCTCCTAAGAGGCAACCGTCTCCAGAGGGAGCACACACAGCATCTGAACCCGATGACATTGTTAGTGGCTCTCCACAGTTGCTACAATGTGCAGAGCACTTCAGATGGGTGTGACCTGCTCTGGAGGCTGTGTAGGGCTCCAGGACTCACACACACAGGAAACAGGAGCATCCAATGGGAAGTCATCACACAGACACTGCACAGACCGCGTGGGCACGCACGGAAGCGCCACACCCTGCATAACTCCCTCGCCTGTCCCCGACACAGAAATGAACAGAAGAGGGCAGCTCATGTCAGGAGTGTCTCAGGGCCAGTCTTTTCTGTGAAGACACGCAGCATGTGCCCATCATATGGGGACACTGCTCACAGCACGGAGGACTGTTTCTACCCATTCTTGTTTCTGAAATGTGCAACCCTCTCACTAGGCTTTTCATTTTCTCACAGATACTAACTCTTCCTTCCTCTTTACTCTGGGAAAGTCACATCCCCACCAGAGCCACGCCAGGGAGCCCGTGTGGGACGGCCAAGGGGCCTCCAATACAGGTCCAGGAGACCCCTGGAGTGACCGCTGGCCAGTGGCTCAAGACACCCAGCCCACAGTGGCTGCTCACAGAGACAGGCCAGCAGGGGCCTGGGGAAGCCAGACACCGAGAGGGGCGGGCGCCAGGACAGAATCCCGAAGATGCATGCAGTCTTACCTTTAAAGTCAAATTGGTAGATGTTTTTTAAGGATTCGTGAAGAAAATAAAAGCTTCCTAGTGCCTGAGGAGCAAAAAGAGAAATCAAATGAGAAACTGGTTCTGGGAATATTTCTGAAGCAATGTTTTTAACAATAAATAAAATAAGCTATTTTAAACTAGCTAGATCAACAGTTAACCAGTTGTAATTTAATCACAGTTACTGAGGCACAAGACGTCCAGCACAGGTAAGCTGCCAACACCCAAACTCCGCCAAGCTAAAGGCATGTGCTGAGCCGTGCGGTGGGTACTGGCTCCAGCAGGGTGCAGGTCCCGCGGGCCGGGCGTCGAGTGGACCACACCCTCCCGGCGCGGACACGCATCTCTGTCCTGGGGCCTGTGGCCCCCCAGCATCAGCTCCACTGCACCCAGCCCCGCCCTGCTGCACCTGGCCCCACCTGGCCCCGCCCGGCCCCATTGCCCCAGGAGCAGCCAGTATCTCCCACTCACAAATCAGCCCAACAGGTGCAGAGCACAGGGACCTCTGTTCTCCACCCCACAGAAGGCAAAAGTACGGGGCCGGACGCTACACGCTGTCTTGATGGACGCCACACGGCAGTGACTTGTTGATCTGAACTTAAGTTTCACATGCTGGTTTCTACATTTGAACCTGTATATACGTGCATGCAGTGTGTGCGTATTGGCGTGTGTGTCATTTCCGTGTATTTTTTTCTTTTGCTAAATCTGGCAACCTCAACAAAGGGCCTGGTATAACTCTGGGGCAGCGATAAAACTGTACACCTTTGTCAAAACTCACCAACTGTGCCCCAAACAGGGCGAATCTCACTGTCTATAAGTAAGACCTTTATAAACCTGACTCAGCAAACAAGCCTGTCTCACAGGACACACCTGCGTGCCCTGCGGGTGGCAGGTGCCGGAACAAAGCAGGGGAGATTCTGAAGGGGCGAGGCCAGGTGGGCCGAAGAGGGCACACAGGCTGAGTGGCAGATGGAGGTCAGGGCTGCCTGTGGAGAGCCCAGCTGTGACCGGTCCACACAGGCCCACAGGACAGAGACGCTGAGCCACTGAGGGTTCTAACCCCAGCTCTGCATTCTGGAAAGGGCCTGTCCTCAAACAGCTGAAAGCACGGGCTGCATTGCACCCTCACTGTCTGTGCGAGCCTGTGGGCAACACAAGGGCGACGCCTAGGCATCACCTAATTCCAAGGCCCCACTTGTACACACTCGTTACATTCATGTACACACCTGCACACACTCACACTCAGGTACACTGTTATGCACTCATGCACTCACACTTGAGCACACACACAGGCACTCACCCACACACCTGCACACTCGTGCACACACATGCACATGCACGCACTCGCTCACACACACACTTCACAGACTCACGCACTCATGCGCTCTTGCTCTGCTTTGGGCAGAACCGTGACCCCACAAGCCCTCGTCCTGAGCACGCCAGCATGAGCTTCCTGCTATCTGTCCGACAGCGCTGCAGAGCTGATGCCTCTCTGAGAAAGTCAAGGGCACCATCTGAACACCACCTAATTCTAAGGCCCAAGCTTCAGGCTCTGCAGTTCCCAGGGAAATGTGCTGCTGCTCCCTCCCGGACCACAGGTCCCTGGGGTGGCCATCGTAGGGCAGGGCTACAAGAGGGTGCGCCACACTGGGGCTCAGGAGGTCGCTGTTCCCTCAGAGGCACAGGGTGGCGGGCGCAGTGCGTGGTGAGGGGTCCCTGTTCTGGGCCTCCTGAGGGCCAAGGTTGCTGGTAACTCTGGCCTGGTTGGTCCCTGTCCACAGTCCCTGGGCCCTTGGGTCAGAACTCTGGGCCTGTTAGGCCGTCTCTGTTTGGAGGATGGTCCCCACGACATGAGAAGCCCCCTGGAGGCTGCACAGCTTCTGCTCCCGGGACATGTATGCCGCACAGGGCGGGCTGGGGTGATGGCGAAACCCCATCTCTACTGAAAATACAAAAATTACCTGGGTATGGTGGCGGGCACCTGTAATCCAAGCTGCTTGGGAGGCTGAGGCAGGAGGATCGCTTGAACCCAGGAGGCAGAGGTTGCAGTGAGCCAAGATCGCACCACTGCACTCCAGCCTGGGTGACAGAGACTCCATCTCAAAAATATAGAAAATGAAAATAAAAAAGCCAGTGTTCAGCCTTTTCTTTGGCAAAATAGAGTTGAGACCCTCTTCAGCAGGAAGGTCATGAGCCACATTCAGCACAAAGTCAAGAGAGGAAGCTACAGACCCGTGCCCCACAGACCCGTGCCCCACAGGCCCATGCCCTGTAGGCCTGTGCCCCATGGATGAAACGCAACGTCCCCTTAGCTGCCATCAGCCCTTCTTTACAGAGGACATCCCTTCATTTGTCTCAGCTAGAGAAAGCACTCTGAGAAAGCATAAGTAAATAAATGTTACTGCAAACATTTAAACTATTACCTCACTGAATGTGATAAAGCTAACAGAATATTATTAAGTTTGTAACAAATAAGCAAAAAATAAATTGCCAATGCAGGCGTAGAAACTGCAATTTATAGTCAGAAAATCCATAATTAGGGCTAATGAACACTGAAAGTCAGAGTTCAACCCAACTTTTTCAGTGTTCACCCCGTCCTATCAATGTGGTTCAGAGCACCCATTTATCAGAGACACCAGGACGATGGGCCAGGAGCCTGTCAAGGGACAGGAAGTCCCAGCTTGCCCAGGCTTCTGACCACAGTACGTGTCTACAGTGGGTCTGTCACATCTGAGAATATTGACTCCTTGCCTCTTGCTAAAAACAGTTAAAATACTTTTTACATATTTATAAACAAGACTGTAAAGAGTGCTATTAATTCTGCGTCAGTGAAATGCAGCCGGTGGCTGTGATGTTTCTGCTATGACTGCCGACATGGCGGAGTCCTCCACCCCCGGAGGCCAAGGCGCAGCCGGGAAGCGCCCTCACTGGACACAGTCAAGCCCCGGGGGCACCAAGGAGTGGAGCAGGTGCAGGCCACACAGAAGACACAGGCCCCTGTGAACCTGCGCCCTGGCTGGGGCTGCATTGGTAGGACCCAAGCATCTGCAGGCAGCCTGAGAGCTAATGGGCAATTAAGGCTCCATCACCACCCATCAGGCTCCTACACCAACTGACGCTGCACAACAACCCATCAGAAATCCCCCAGCAACTGAAGCCCCATCACCACCCATCAGAAACTGACACCAACTCAAGCTCCATCACCACCCATCAGAATCTCACAGCAACTGAAGCACCATCACCACCCATCAGAATCCCACACCAACTGAAGCTCCATCACCACCCATCAGAAACCGACACCAACTGAAGCCCCATCACCACCCATCAGAATCCCACACCAACTGAAGCCCCATCACCACCCATCAGAATCTCACAGCAACTGAAGCTCCATCACCACCCATCAGAATCCCACACCAACAGAAGCTCCATCACCACCCATCAGAATCCCACCGCAACTCAAGCTCCATCACCACCCATCAGGCACCCACACCAACTGGCGACCAGGGCACTAGGAACCCTGCACACCATGGTAGCTCCGTGCCTCTCACAGAGGTGGCTAGTGAAAATGGATTTTTTGCAAATGCTGTTAAAACAAGCTTTCAGCTTCAGTGGGAGTCTGGTCCTGTGACAAATGGCCAGACCATGTCACTTAGCTTGATTTCGGGAGTTGAATTCTGATAGCAGCAGGCCCACTTTGCAAACATAGCCAACTCAGGGCGAGGGCAGACCACCTCTCACACATTCAGAAAGAACAGCGGGTCCCTGCAGGCACGGTGCAATCACAAAGCCCGTGTTTGTTGAGCGGGGTCCCACCTCCTGGACGGAGCCAGTGGCTCCCAGGCTCGGGATGACTCAGGCCGGGGCAGAGGCTGACAAGGCAGGAACACAAAGCCGCCATTGGAAACAACTCCATCACTTTTTATTTGCAAACAAGTCAGATAGCCAGTTATTTATCATTTCCACAATCAGGTGAACGGCCAAAGCACACATCATTAACCCGGTCTTCTGCGTCCGGCTTGTTCGTCCACAAAGCAGAACCGATTCCTGAAACTCAAGTCACACGGACCTCGCAGTAAGGCATGCACAGGAGCACTTGTTCTGCCCAAGTCACACAGGGGAAACGCACACGTGGTGCTCACGTGCGGCCCCGGGGGGACGGCAGGGCCCTTCCTCTATGCCACCAGCATCCCTGCCAGTTCCAACCACGTCAGGGGTGTGACCGCAGGTGGGGGCTCCCAGTGCACTCCCAGTGCACCCCCGGGGATCTGCGTGGAGCCTGAGGCTGCTGCATTCTGCCACTGGGAAGGGAAACAGTGTTGGGGGGAGGGCACAGCCCGCAGCCCAGGGGGTCCTGACTAAGGCTGACTGTGCCCATCAGAGGTGACTCAGAAAAGGGAGCGGCAGCATTTGACGGCTCCTGTCTCACCTGAGGCAGCACAACATTTCCTTATTTCCACAGATTAAGTGTTTTTACCTCCAGTTTTTTTATATATAAAATAGATCTAGGAGCAGGAAGAAAAACTTCAGAATATATTGTTAGTAACTAATCAAGCCTGCAGCAAAATAGAGAACCTCGTTTGTGTTAAAGGAGAGTCGGGAGATTACTAAACATGAGTCGCCTCACCTGCAGCCCACTCCTTCCCCAGCTGCACGCTCCCACATTTGCTCTTCCCTTGTAGTTAATACAGGAGAAATGAGAAGACACTCAGGTTCACAGCGACTAATGAGTGACAGATGACAGGAGCCACGGGGACACGGCATGTCCTGTGAACTCACAACCCCACACCCTCGAGGCTGCTTCAAACCTGAGAGAAACTCCTGCACACACACACGTGTGTACACACATACACACATATGCACACACACATGCATGTACACAGATGCATGTACATACACACGTATGCACACACACATGTACACACACACACACACAGAGATATACATAACCCACATCCACGTAACTATATATACACATACACATCTGCACATACCTGCAGACATACATATGTCCATATACACACATGGAATGCACACACAGACCTCTCT